TAATTTTAAGACTGTGACCCCTGGTTATAGAATCTCATACCAGGGGAAACAGTCCTTCTGTGTCTACTTTATCAGCCCTTTAAGAATCTTATATGTTTCAATAAGGTCTCCCCTATATATAATATATAACAATATAATCTATTATATAATATATAATAGTAAATAAATGATGTTCATTGAAAATAATAATAAATAATCCTTGCATTTGATATAGTGCCTTAATGTGTCTTAGAGACGTCTCAAAGCGCTTCACAGAATATACTGTAAAGTGAATTGACTGGATATTTTGTGGGCAAAACCCGGCAGCCAATTGCGCACAGCAGCGTCCCACAAACAGTCGTGGATTAAAGTGACCAATTTATTATTACTAATTTTTTGAACTAATTATTAGCCCCGGAAAAGCGATCCGCCAATCAACTAACAACCAGATTCCTACTTACAGCTAGAAATGGATCAGGAGCAGAGCAAAGATCACTCTAACTTACAATACAATTGATATTTCTGTAGTTCTGTAGCTCAGTGGTTAGAGCACTCACCTCGCAATCGAGAGGACCCGGGTTCGATTCCCGTTCGACAACGATATGAATGGCAAGCTATGCAGTTTCAGCTGGTCAAACTCCAACTCACCCTGTAGGGTCCCCAAGCCTTGGCTCCTGCCAATCTGCACCTAACACCACCCGGATTTAAATAAGCAGGGTGCGTCATTCCGGTTAGAGAGTGCAATTATTCTGTTCCAGAAACAGGAAAATTTCAATGTGCAAGTGGTGCACATAACAATAATAATCCTTGCATTTGATATAGAGCCTTATCACGTCATTGAGGCTTCACAGAATATATTATGAAGCGGATTGACTATGCATTTTGTGGGTGGAACACAGTAGCCAATTGCTCACAGCAGTGTCCCACAAAAAGTCTTGGACTGAGTGCTAAATTTTTTTTTGAGGGGATATTCCCCAATCGACGAAAAAACCGGGTTCCTACCTACAGCTAACAGAGGTGTGTGGAGTAAAGAAACTTGCCTAAGGTTTTGCCCTGCTCGAGAATTGAACCCAGGGAATCTCGCTGGTGAAGCGAGCGCACTAACCACGTATGTGGAACACTGTCTGGTTTGCGTGCCCTTAAGCACGGCGGTTGGTTTTGGCATGATTATTTAATGTGTAATTCAGCCCAATATTGTAGTGTAGCTTTGACTGACCTATTTAACCTGCTGGGCCATCATTAAGATGCCCTTATTTATATCTATTCACAACAGTTCACCAAGTATTGGATGTTGAACGAAGGACCAACCAAAATATAATTAATCATGTTGAAAGGAACACCTTGATGAGATGACTTTGGTGCATTCAGTAAGTGAAGTTTCCATTACGTTTTGTTTTGCACAATGCCTTTCATTCATGTTTCTAATCATCCTGGAATTTTTTTAAATCGCGGGGGGGAGGGGGGTAGTGGGGGGGAATAAAAGACAGCAGACACATTTTCCATAAGATCCTTAAACTTAAGCAGAATCGGATTTAGCGACGAGAAAAAAAAGGCACAAAGATCCAGGTGTCACCTTGAACAGGTTGTTTTAAAATCATAAGGAGGTAAGAATTTGCTCGGGGGAAAGAAGACCAAGGTCCATCTAGTTTGCCCTCCACCATCCTGGCACTCGCTTAACACATCATATCCCGAACTATAAACCGAGATATTATTTCCTAACAGAACTCTATGTAGTGTAGTGTAACTATTTGTGAGACACTACTGCGCTCAAATGGCTGGTGTGTTTCACCCACAAAATATACAGTCAATTCACTTTACAGTATTATCTTGTGAAGCGTTTTGAGACGTCTCTATGTAATTTGTTAATTTGTTTGTTCGTGAAAGAATCGACACGTTCTGCTTCCACCATGTGCCCGGGGGACTGTTCCGTACGTTTACTACAGTCCTGTAGCTCAGTGGTTAGAGCACTCGCGTCGCAAGCGAGAAACCTGGGTTCGATTCCCGGGCAGGGTGAAACCTTGGGCAAGTTTCCTTTACTCCACACACACCTGTTTACCTAGTAGTAAGTAGGAACCCGGTTGTTAGTCGATTGGCGGATCGCTTTTCCGGAGGGTAATAATTCCTTCATAAATATAGATTGGTCACTTCATTCCATGACTGTTTGGGGGACGCTGCTGTGCGCAATTGGCTGCCACGCTTCGCCCACAAGAATATACTGGAGAGTGAAATGACTGTATATTTTTAAACAGTCAATTCAACTCTCCAGTATATTCTGTGAAGCACTTTGAGACAACTTGAAGATGTGATAAGGCGCTATAACAAATGCAAGGATTATTATTATTCCAAAATGAATCGAAAAGGCAGATCAGAGCAAAGGCTTGTGCTTTCAACGATGCATGTCAGTTACTCCTCTCCCTCAGAAGGAAAATCAGACTATCAGATAAAAACCATCCACAGTGACTAACAGTTAAATAATAGTAATCCTTCCTTGTATTTGATATAGCTCATTATCACGTCTTCTGTAAAGTGAGTTGACTGTATATTTTGATGGGGAAACGCGGCAGCCAATTGCACACAGCAGCGTCCCACAAACAGTCGTGATCAAATTATTATTTATTTTTGAAGTGATTATAACCCCTGGAAAAGCGATCCTCCAATGAAATAACAACCGGGTTCCTGCTTACTGCTGGGTAAACAGGTGTGCGTGTGGGGTAAGGAAACCTGCCCAACATTTTGCCCTGTCCGGGTATCAAACCGGGGTCCTCTTGCTTACAGGCGAGCGGTCTAACCAGTATGCGACAGGCCTCCACAAATCTAACCGAATACGGTACAGGAAGCCCAGCAAAGTTTGTCAAGTATGGAAAGGGCAGTGGCACGGAAGATCTTAAAAAAAACAAATAGAATCTTTAAAGCAAATGCATTTATTTATTTTGTAAACGTTCCCACATCTGCCCATTTCGGGTTCCGTTCTGTACAATGAATGATATGTACAGCAGACAAGTCGGTCAATAATAATTTAACATTTTACTGCGAGCACATTTCAGTCTAGGAACACAGCTTGAAGAAACTACCAGATTGTACACACACACACACATAAGGAGTAAAGCACTCTGATCAGACTCATCAAGTTGGTAGCATTCAAGGCAGCAACAATTGCATCGCGGATATGCAGCTCAAGCGACCAATATTTTGCATGCTTGAACTAAACACTAAAATGCAACGATACTGATGGATTTTGATATAGTGTCAATCCAAATTGTCTCCGCTGTTTGAATCGATTGTTCTGCCCCCCCCCCCCCACACACGCAAAATAAATCAGCTTGCCTGTCTGAGAGCATGGTTCAAATTCATTTTTTTGTCCCCTTCCCCTCTGATGTGTGCGAAAACTCGAGACGTCAAATCTTCCATGGCCTTCTAATTCCCAACGTTCACTTACATGGTGAAGTACGAGGTTGGTTGGTTTTGGGATATGTGTATTATATATATATAGAGAGAGAGAGGATATGTGTCTGAGGTTGTGTGTGTGTGTTTGTGTGGGGGGGGAAGGAAGAAAAATGTAACTAGGTTCAGAGTTAAATAAAAATAATTGTATTTGCATCCCGTTTCTGTAAGAGTTTCTCTTTTTCCATTCTGAGCTGGAATGACCATTCCATTAATAATAATATTAATAATAATCCTTGCATTTGATACAGCGCCTTATCCAGTCTTCGAGTCGTCTCCAAGCGCTTCCCAGTGCTGTGAAGCGAAGTGAATTGAATTGTATTTTGTGGGCCAAGTCATCAGCCAGCGATGCAGCATAGCACCCTTTATACCACAAGTTAAATCAGTCAGTGAAAGCGGGGGAGGGAGGTGGGGGGGGGGGTGGGGGGAGTGGGGTAATACAAGCCACCTCACACAATTGGCTTGGATATCCAATGGGCCATCCAGACCAGATGTTCAAGGTGATTTCTTTTAAATACAGCTGAAAGCCTTGGTCATGTTTGAGTCACCGTGAGGGCTCACATGGCTTCTCATGGGTTCAATCACCACAATCTAAGGAACCCTGGTCTGCATTTAGCCTCAACAACCACCACCCACCCCACTCTGAGGTCACAGGTTGCAAAAAAGATGGTGAGGGTGGCAATTCTTATCGAAGGTACAGTACGTAAATTACACTCACTGTGCGATGGAGTTTCAGAATATTTAAAAACCAAGAAATGCTTTAACAGTAACACAGCTGCATCCATCGACTCAAAAGAGGTGAAAATACGCACACACACGCGCACACAAACACGCACGCGCAAAAAAAAGTGTCTGGTTCGATCGACGTGCACGGAATTCAAAAGAATTAAGAACAAAAAACTCGGGGAAAGAAAAACCTTCAGAGATACAGAGTTCGATTTCTCCACCCACCGGTAGATCTGCAAAAAAAAAACCCAGTTCCCTACACATTTTTGGCATCTCCGAATAGAACTGTGTTGGAGAGCAGAGCAGGGCCATGTGATGAAGCACCGGGCGATTAACCTTAAGTTCCTCCAAACCGAGGTGAGAATAAAACTAAAAAGACGAACCCTCTTATTGATCATCAAATGCGAGAGAGGGAAAAATAAAACGAGGAACAACGAGCTTTTATCCTGAAGAACGACACCGGAACGGGCGAGACAAATGAAAATGACTTTTCAAGTGGTTTTCAACTGCCCGTCAAGCCAAGTCAAGCCAAGCCAAGTTCGCTGACAGTTTCCTTCACGGTCCAGCCCTGTGGTGGCTCGATCAGCCTGGCCTGCCTGCGGGCCCTCACCGCTCGCCAGCAGACTTAGAATAAACCTTGCATGTGATACAGCGCCTTTGCCACGTCGTCGAGACGTCTCAAAGCGCTCGGCAGAATGTACTGCAAAGCGAATTGATCGTTTGAGGTTAAAACAGAGAGGGAAGGAAGCAAAAAAACAAACAAACAAAAATGTATACAGGGCAGGTTTCTACCCGCCCACCCCCCCACCCCCACCCCCCACCCTGCACCATGTGTACTCTTCCTGTCTAAATCAGTACAGATTACAGTAACTATTGGGACTTCAGCCCTGGCTCGCTATTTATACTGACGTGCACAGTTCAGTGGTACCCTCCTCGCTATACCAGCCGAGGTTTCTCGTTTCTGCAGAAAACTTGCCAGCGCGGTCACCCCCGACTTTCACTTTGAGTAGCCAGCGGTGAAATCCGGACGTCTGGTCTGAACGATCTTGGGTTTGGGTCTGTTTCTCTCCTCCTCCTGCTCCAACTCCTGCTCCTGCTCCAGCTCTGGATCGCTCTCACACACGTGCACCACCACGCTAGGCGTCGTCTCCGTACCAGCGTGAAGCTCGTATTTCTCTCCTGTCCAGACATTTCGTTTTATTTTTAAATAAAACTTTTTTTTAGTATTATATTTATAGCAAAAAAACCAAAATAATTTCTTCTCGGTACAGGAATTCACCTTCGCCTTAGGCTCCGCCACCACAATGAGTGTTTACTCATGTGCGTGTGTGTGTATTGCATATGCGTACTGCATATCTGAGTGTATTGTACGTGTGTGTGTGCGAGTGTATTGCATACACACGTGTTTATTGCATGCATATGTGTGTGTGTCTGCATGCATATATCAATCCATGATTTTGTGGGGACGCTGCTGTGCGCAATTGGCTGCCGCATTTCACCCACAAAATATACAGTCACTTCACTTTACAGTATATTCTGTGAAGCGCTTTGAGATGTCTCAAAGATGAGGTGCTATATCAAATGCAAGGATTATTATTATTATTATTATTAGAATCCCAGTGCACTGTCCATGATTTTTTCCCACCTCCCAGTTTCTTGCCCAATAAACCCCCAGATAAAATTGATCATTTATCTTGTGGCTGTTTATGGGACATTGCTGTGGGCAATTTGGCTGCTGCATTCGCCTACAAGAATACATAATTCCTGTGCTGTACAGTGAATAATAACAATAATCCTTGCATTTGATATAATGTCTCATCACGTCTTTGAGACGTCTCATAGCGCTTCACAGAATATACTGTAAAGGGAACTGACTGTATATTTTATGGTTGAAATGCGCAGCCAATTATTATTACCATTATTATAATTAAACCCATATTGCGCTTCTGATGATTGTGCTGTGAATGTGCATTACCTGGACCCAGTTTAGAGATGGCATAGAGTAGGTCATAGTTTATAACAGGTGTGGCATCTTCGGCTTGTTTCCAGCCCACAGGAGGAGATGCTGGAGGAGAGATAAGGAACTGTTTTTCTGGGTGAGGGGGCAACAGGTGTGGCCCACCTTTGCTGAACGATTTGTTCTGGACCTGAAATACAGAGTCAATATTATAATATTAATAATAATAATATTCCTTGCAGTTGATATAGTGCCGAATCACGCCTTCGAAACGTCTCAAAGCGCTTAATAGAATACACTGTAAAGTGAACTGACTGTATATTTTGTGAGCGAAAGGCTGCAGCCAATTGCGCACAGCAGCGTCCCACAACAGTTGTGGACTGAAGTGACCAATTTATTATTATTATTTTTTGAAACGATTGTTACCCCCAGAAAGCCAATCGACTAACAGTCGGGTTCCTAGTTACTGCTGGGTAAACAAGGTGTATGGAGTAAGGAAACTTTAAGGTTTCGCCGCTGCCCAGGAATTGAACCTGGGTCCTCTCGCTTGCGAAGAGGGCTCTAACCGCTGAGCTACAGGGGTTACAAAGTCTGATAAGAAGTTGCAATACATGAACCGAGCTGATGGTTGGGATCAGGAGGAGGTGGAGGGCAGGGAGGGTAGGGGTAGGAGGATGACCGAAGGCACGGTCGAAGAGTAGGGTCTTGAAGGAGGCAAGGGAGGGGATGAGGCGGAGGGACTGTGGGTTGGAGTTCCAGAGGGTGGGGGAAGAGAGCCTGAAGGCCCGCACGCCAGTGGTGGGGCGGACAAGGCGGGGGACGTGAAGCAGGCCGGAGCCCGTTGAGTGGAGGGGCGCGGACAGGTTGGTAAGGGGTTAGGAGGTCACGGAGGAAGAGAGGAGCAAAGGCTGTGGAGGTTCTCCAGAACCCTTAGTGGTTTGCTCCACAAGCCCTTCCCATTCCTCTGGAAACGCTCTCTCTCCAGAGGGTTGCACCCTGATCACTTAATCCCCAAAGTATTGAATGCAGGTTGGCAAGAGGCAAAACTTGGTGGGTGGGTGAGTGATAATAATCATAATAATCCTTGCATTTGATGCAGCGCCTCATCACGCCTTTGAATCGTCTCAAACTGCTTCACAGAATAGACAGTAAAGTGAATTGACTGTGTATTGTGTGGGGCGAAACAATTTACTTTACCTGTGCAAAGTAGAGCTTCATTTTCTTTCCATTGAACTCAGTCCCGTGAAGGTTGATTCTGGCTTCAGTCGCCGCGATGGGGTTGTTGAAGTTGATTCTCACTCGCTTAAAACTCTTAAAAAACTGAAAGGTTGCGTCTGGGTCGTAAGCTCGGAAGATCGACTCGAAATCGGCCTGTAGGGAGGGGGAGAGTTACAGTCAGGATTGAATTCGAAAACATAACCCCTGGATAATTTCAGCCCGAGAAACTCCTTGTTAAAAGTCCTCAACCAGCTTATTAATAATAATATTAATCCTGGTACTCGATCCAGCGCCTTATCGCGTCGTCGAGACGTCTCAAAGCCCTTCGCAGAATATGTTGTAAATTGTTTGTGTGCGCAATGTGGCATCCAATAGTGTTACCACTGCGCCAGGCTGACGGGCAAGTTCATTTTCAAGTCATGGGGGCAGGAGGATTAAAACGGGGGCAGAGAGATTTTATGCATGGGCGCTTGTGTCCCAAAATTCTACCTGGTCTTAGCCTGCCCAACCATTTGATCCCAAGGATTTGAAAAATTGCATGGAAATGTGGAACATTCGTAAAGTTCAGTCAATCCTACGTTCAACATGCAGAACTGTTAAGCAAACTCCACTTTATTTTTTCTGTCTAGCTTTGGAAATCTTGAGGTTTTTGTACAATTCCTTTTTAAACGTTAACCTTACTCCACTTTGGTAACCTTTGTTTACCTTGTAGTATGTGGGAACCCAGTTGTTGCATCGATTGGTGGACCGCTTTCTTGGAGATAATGATCCTTTCCCTAAAATCCCTTCCCACTACTAATAACTTGTTCACTTAATCCACGACTGCTGCGCACAGCAGTGTCCCACAAACAGTCGTGGATTGAGTGACCAAATTATTATTAATATTTTCTTTGAAGTAATTATTACCCCCCGGAAAAGCGATCTGCCAATCGACTAACAACCGGGTTTCTACGTACTGCTGGGTAAACAGAGGCGTGTGGCGTAAGGAAACTTGCCGTGGGGGTTGATGTGGGGAGGGCAGGGAGAGGGAGAGAGAGGAGGTGGGGAATGGAAAGAGCAAGGGAGAGAGAGTCCAGAAAAGAAACCCTGAAAAAACTCACCGTAGGCTGGTAGAAATTTCATTGGTTGAAATTTCCAACCTTGGCTTAAGAGAGTATTAAAAAAAAATTAAATTCTAAACTGGTTTTACTACTTACTTAATACTGAGTTATTGGTTTAATGCCACAAAAATTAAAAGCAGACTTATGCACTAATGAGATTTTGTTGAATAAAAATTCCCATGTGGCCTTTGGTATACCAGCGACCTACTCAGTTTCTCTCTCTCCCTTCACTCTACCCCTCTCCTCGGTCCAGTTTTTTTCAAAATAATATCTCCCCTCCTTTATTATTATCCAAATTATTTATCTATTTAATTAAAAAAACATTTTTTTGAAGGGATTATTATCCCTGGGAAAGCGATCCACCAATCGACTAACAACCGGGTTCCTACTCGCTGCTAGTTAAACAGAGGCGTGTGTGCGGAATTAGGATTCTTGCCTAAGGTTTCGCCCCTACCCGGGAATCGAACCTGGGTCCTCTCACTTGCAAGGTCAGTGCTCTAACCACTGAGCTAAATGGCTCCTTCTGTTATTTTTCACGCTGGTTTGTGGGTAGATTTGACATTTGGAGTTGACCAACAGAAAAATGTTTGCACTCGGATCTTCTTAGTTTCATTGCTGAATTACACATAGATATAATCCTGGTTAGACTCCAGCAGTTACCCCAACACAACTCTGGGCTCCCCCCCAAGCACTTGGCTCTTACCTATCTGCGCCTAACACTTTCCGGAATTAGGAAAGCAAAATGTGTCCTCCAGGGAGAGAGAGAGAGAGAGAGAGAGAGAGAGAGAGAAAGAGCGCACAAACCATTCCAACAATTTATCTCTGGGATTTCCACATGTAGGTGGGATACCTGGAATTCTCAGCTTGGTTGGAGACTCTTAAGCAACGGTGATGGGAGCGCATGTCAGGCTGACCTGACCTCCCCCTCTCCTCCCCACACCCCAAAAAAAGCAAGCCTTTTTAAGTGGAAAATGTCATATTGAAATAGATCGTTTTTGAGTTGAATTTGAAGCCGTTTCACAACCTCAGCACTTCAAAATTTACGTAACTTGTGTCCTTCGCAGTGTGACATAATGCTCTGCTATGAGTGAGCAGCAATTGTTTCTAGTAGGTTTAGGTGTCTCGGTAATTTCCATTTGACCATGGCTTATGATGTGTTTTTTCCTACCCTGAAGGCTTTTGATTTGTTTTCCTTCCACTCGGGTAAAGTTCTACAGGTCTTGGCTGCTCTCCAATTCCCTCGCCCTGTTGCCCTTTATTGTTCAGCCTCGGGTTATTTGGCGTCCTGTAGCTCAGAGGTTAGATCACTCGCCTCGCAAGCGAAAGGACCCAGGTTTGATTCCCGGGCAGGACGAAACCTGCCTCTGTTTACCCAGCAGTAAGTAGAAACGATTGTTGGTCGATTGGTGGATAGCTTTTCCGGGGGTAATAATCCGTTCAAAAAAAAATAATAATTTAGTCACTGAATCGGTGACTGTTTGTGGGACGCTGCTGTGTACAATTGGCTGCCGGGTTTTGCCCACAAAATATACAGTTAATTCACTTTACACTTCACTTTCTGTGAAGCGCTTTGAGACGTCTCTAAGCGATAAGTTTGCAGGGCTATGGGGAGAAAGCGGATAGTGGGGTTGAGTTGGATAGCTCTTTTCAAAGAGCCGGCACAGACACAATGGGCCGAATGGCCTCCTTCTGTGCTGTATAATTCTATGATTCTATGATAGGTCAAATCCAAGGATTATTCATATCATTATAAATGAACTTTAAGACAGAAGGTAATTAACAGGGTGGAATGTTGTTACTAGGAAAGGTGGGAATACAGCTACAATGCTGGACATATTTAAGAAAGAACTTGGTGGTATAAGGAGAGGTAGGGTGGGTATTCTGGAAGGTGAGATCAATGGGCTCTTCATCATAATAATAATAATCCTTGCATTTGATATATAGCGCCTTATCACGTCTTTGAGACGCCTCAAAGCGCTTCACAGGATATAGTGTAAAGTGAATTGACTATACATTTTGTGGGTGAAAATCATCTGGCCTTCTTGTGACATTGTAATCGTTTTAAGTCTTAATCTTAAAATGCGCTACACACAATCAGAATCAAATCAAATAATTAAATACCGGCATTGCTACCCAGCCATTCTTCAGGTAAGATGTTAAACCATCTATCTGACAGTATGGGTGGATGTTAAAGGTCTCATGCCACGACTTTAAAAGAGAAGGGCAATTTCTACCGTTATTCCTGGCCAACAATCCCTCAGGTAAAAAGTCACTCAATCCATGGCTGTGTTTGTGGGTCATTGCTTCGTGCAAATTAGCTGCCGTATTTGCTGTTAAATACACAGTAACGACATTTAACAGTCAAAACCTTGCGATGCACTTTGAGCTGTTTCTTGTTAAGGCACTTGTATCGATTGCAAGAATTAGTATTATTTATTTGCGTTCGTGAAATTCGATGGATGGCTTGAAGAGGAGGAATATTTTTAAATGGTAAACGAGAGCAAGTATTTCAAGATCCTCTCACTCGTTCGTCTACAAATCCCTTCACGCTCTGGCACCTCCCTACCTCTCCAACCTGCTTTCTCCCCAGTCCACCAGCCACTCCACTCCATTCTGTTCAGGTGGCTCTGGCATCTGGATTATCTCTTGAGCCCTTCGCTCCACCATTGGTGGCCGTGCCTTCAACCGCTACACCTTGAAGCTCTCTCCATCAATCCCTCTGCCTCTTCTACTCCATTCCAGTCACTTCCTCTCTCCCACCTGGCTTGGCACCATATTTAAGTGCCCTGAGACACTACCCCGTGTGAAGGGCGATATATAAATGCAAGTTATAATAATAATACTTCCATTTGATACAGCCCCTTATCATGTCTTCGAGACGTCTCAAAGGGCTTCACAGGATAGACTGTAAAGTGAATTGACTGTATATTTTGTGGGCCAATCGTGGCAGCCAATTGCTCACAGCAGCGTCCCACAAACGGTCGTGGGTTGAAGTGACCAATTTATTATTGTTTTTTTTCTTGAGGGGTTATTATCAGGCGTGTGGGGTAAGCAAATTTGCCCAAGGTTTTGCCCTGCTGGGAATTGAACCCAGGGTCTCTCACTTGCGAGGCGAGTGCTCTAAACACTGAGCTACAGGGCTCTTGTACAGAAGTTGTTGTTGTTTTAAGATCGACCCTTTGGAACTTCATTCCACAGTTCATTCACTTCGCTCTCTCCCTTACCTCCTTCAAGGCACGTCTCAAGACCCTCCCCTTTGGCCAACCTCCTACGCACCCTGTCATCCACCCTTCCTGCCTTCCATCCCCCTGATCCCAGCCCCGTTTGGGTCCAAATCCCTCACTGTCCAGTACCTTGGGACGTCCTCCTGACATAAAAGGCGCTACACAAATGTAATTTTGTGGTTGTTACTGAGTAGGAGAGAGTGGGATTAGATGAAATGGTTAATGTGGAGGAATAACAAGACCGAGACAGTTGATGAACTGCTCTGTAACATTCCACCTTTGTATGACAGCAGCTTCACAAATACTGGCAAATTTCCATGGTGACTCACAGGATATCAAAACATAATCCACTCACACGCTTTACATTCTTCACTGGGGCAAAGTTCCTCAGTTTCCAACTTGACACTCATCAGTTGCCATCTTAATTAAAGTGGTTGCAAAACTTTCCTGTCTGCGTTACCTCCGAAAACCAGAATAGAAGTGATCTTTGCTTTTTGCATCTAAAAAATGTCAGTAACTAGGGGTCAACATGACTACATGGAACTGGGATTATTCCTTCCCCTTTTATTCGGTGGATGGAGTCCTGTAGCTTAGTGGTTAGAGCGCTTGCCTTGCAAGCGAGAGGACCTGGGTTCGATTCCTGGGCAGGTCGAAACGTTGGCCAAGTTTCCTTACTCCGCACATACGCCTCTGTTTACCCAGCAGTAAGTAGGAACCCGGTTGTTAGTCGATTGGTGGATCGCTTTCTGGGGCTAATAATCCCTTCAAAAAATAATAATTTGATCACTCAATCCACGACTGTTTGTGGGACACCGCTACCCGCAATTGGCTGCCGCGTTTCGCCCACAAAACATATAATCAATCCACTTTACAGTGTATTCTGTGAAATGCTTTGACGTGTCTCTCGGAAGCCATAAGGCGCTATATCAAATGCAAGGTTATTATTATTCAGTTTACCACCACCCTCAGACAGCCCCAATTAAGTATGTTTTTTTAAAAAAACATATATACATATTACAGCATACACAACCTGGTTTCCCCGAGGCTCAGTAGGAGAGAAAAAAAGAAAATTGACTACCAATTAGATGCAGTTTATCATTACAAGTTGCTGCAAGTTGAGCATTTCCTTAAATAAACTCACCCCATTCTCAATCCTCTCTCTCTCTCCCCCCTACACTCCCTTACTCGCCTCTTTATTTCCCTTAATTTGGCAACGAATCAATCATAAACTGAGCAAAAAAAAAATCCTCGCAAGAGAGTTTTAATCCTGTATCGTGTTGTAATCTGTGAAGCGCTTTGAGACGTCTCAACGACGTGATAGGGCGCTATATGAAATGCAAGGATTAAATAATTATTATTATTTGTTGTCAAACCAAAGTCTCTGTAACCAGGAAGTCACAAGTCAAAGAGCAGCCACTTCTTTACAACAACAGAGCTTCTTTACAACAACAGACAAGACCTGGTTTGTTAATAAATCTAATATATAGTAAAAGGTATGAATCAGGATCAACAGTGGCACAGTAAAGCTAAAATGTTTTTAAAGCTAAAAAAAAAGAACACTCTTTCTTCAATACAACAAACAGAAAACGAACCAAACCACATTCCTGAGTCAGGACATTTTTTCAAAAAAACTTCCTTACCCGAATGTGAACATCGGTGAAAATTTCCGTGTACGGCAAGCAGGCAATCAGAGAAATAATATCGCACTTTACGGTTTGTAGATGCATCGCTCTACCACTTGTGGTGCGTGTCTGTCTCTGTGTGTAAAATAAAATGCCCTGCAACTCTGGATTTGTAGTGAACACACTGTGTCTTTCTCTCTCTCTCTCTCTTTCTATCTCGGAGGCTAACCGAATAACTCTTCTGATTTTACAGTCCGCTTTTATACCATACAATTTTATGGAGAGACCAACCCACTCCTCTCTCCAGAGAATGATTGAGTGAGTGTACTGGCTGACTAGCTTACTAACTAACGCACCTTCCTGTGTGAGACAGCATATTTCTTTGAACGAAAAAAAAACTCAGTTGGGAACAGGACGAACTTCCATCAGATGGAAAGTAATGACATCAGCACTCAGCCAAGATAGCCAGCTAACAAATCAGCTTGGCTCTGCTATTGGAAGATGGAAAAAAAAACGGCTGAAGTTGCCTGGCAGCTGTGGTTATCATTGGTTCCACACATAGTTTCCATTGCCAGTAATTCCATTCTACGCCCACGTTGCATGTACTTGACTTGAATGGCTTTTCTTGAGATGGAAATATTTTTTTTGTCACACACATACACACACACACATATACACATGCACAGGAACAATTTAGAAACAGGAACCAGACTGGCGAGGGATTTTTTAAAAAAAAAACAATGAATCAATAAATAAAACAAAGTATTTTTCCTCCTTGTTTTTCCCCCAAAGTAAACGAAATTCAAATCAGATAAAAGGAGAATGAAATTGCGGCAAAGCAATCGATTTGAAACGTTCGTTTCTATCAAACGCAAGGATTAATTTGCGAGGAATAATGATGATTGTGGAGTCCGCGGTAGGGTAGAGGTTGGAGCGCTCGCCTCGCAAGCGAGAGACTGGGTTTGATTTCCGGCCAGGGCAAAATGATAGGCAAGTTTCCTTGCTCCACACACAGACACACACACACGCGTGCGCGCCTCTGACCCAGCAGTCAGTAGGAACCAGGTTGTTAGTCAATTGGCGGATCATTTTCTGGGGTAATAATCCCTTGCAGGTAAAAAAAATTTGGTCACGCAATGCACGACTGTTTGTGGGACACTGCTGTACACAATTGGCTGCCGCTTTTTGCCCACAGAATACACAGTCAGTCCACTTTACGATATATTTTGTGAAGTGCTTTGAAACGTCTCAATGGTGTGATCAGGCGCTATTTCCAATGCAAGGATTATTATTATTATTATTAATAAACACTTTTTTAAAATTTCGCCTTGTTAATTTAATCCTGCCAAGTGTTTCTGCACAGTAGAGGCTGGAAAAGAGCAGCTCACCATTATATTTAGCTGATTTTGCTTTATGTGAGTGTGTGCGCGGGTGCCAGCTATAATAATAATCCTTACGTTTGATATAGCACCTTATCACATCTTCGAGAAATCTCAAAATGCTTCACAGGATACACTGTAAAGTGTAGTAACTGCATGTTTTGTGGGCAAAACGCGGCAGCTAAATGCGCACAGCAGCATCCCACAAACAGTTTATTTATCGTAGTTTATTACTGCCACCGGAAAAGCGATCCTCCAATCAACTAACAACCGTGTTCCTACTTACTTCTGGGTAAACAGAGGCAGGTGGAGTAAGGAAACTTGCCTAAGGTTTCACCCTGCCCAGGGAACGAACCTGGGTCCTCCCTTTTGCAAGGCGAGTGCTCAAACCAATATGCTACAGGACTCCACATAATATCCATTTTCACTGAGATTTACATGAAGTAAAGTTAAAGTGTGCAGAACCGGGCTTCTAAACAACACTTTTCAGCTTAAGAACCTTTGTACTTTAATTTCAACCCTCAGCTGCAAGTAACTTCTGATAGCTTTGATAAGTGCATGAAAACAGTGCAAAGTTCTACATTGTAAATGCGAATGTCAGCAACATCAAAGTGCAAAGTCTAAATCTACCTCCCAGATATAGAGTATGTAGCCATCGCATTGAATCAAGTTATTCCTTTTTGTTTAAAACAAACCACACCACATCACACACAGGTCTAAAGTAGACTGTAATGTGAATTGTCTGTATACTTTGTGGGTGTAACGCAGCAGCCAATTTCACACAGCAGCGTCCCACATACAGTCGTGGATTTTAAGTGACTAATTTATTATTATTATTTATTTATTGAAAGGATTATTATCCCCAGAAAAGCAATCTGCCAATCGACAAACAACCAGGCTTCTGCTTACTGCGAGGTAAACAGAGACGTGTGGAGTAACAAAACTTGCCTAAGGTTTAGTCCTGCTGGGAATCAAACCCAAGTCTCTCGCTTGCAAGGCGAGTGCTCTAATCACTGAGCTACAGGACTCCACAATGGCAAACTATGTGATTTTAGCTGGTTATGCCCCAGCAGTTACCCCAACACACACTCTGGGGTCCCCAACCCTTGGCTCTTGCCAACTTGTGCCAATACTTGCCGGAATTAGATGAGCAAAGAGCTCTCTAGAGAGAGAGAGAGAGAAAGTGCGCACTCCATTCCAAAAGAAATGTCCAGTTGAGTATAGAGTATAGAGCACAAGTCTATACAGTCTAAACAGTAAATAATAAGGTTCAGAGGAATAATTCACACTGGTGCAGCAAAGAGAAACGCTTTGTGAAGCGCTTTGAGACGTCTCAAAGCCGTTATAAGGTGCTATATCAAATGCAATGATTACTTAGTATTATTATGAAATCAGAGGCAAGGTACAGAACATTTAGGTTTGCTCTCAGAACTGTTACAAGCTGCAGTTAGCTTCTGTCTACCATTTGAGTCAACAGGTCCAGGTTCCTCTCGGGATGAAACCTCCCATTGTACAGTTCACACATGATAAAAAGAGTCAAGAGTCAGAACGCACCAGGGACCTTACACCAAACATGGGTATCACAACATAAAAAATAATTCTGTGCAAGAGAAGCTTCTACTCATACAATGTCCCTCGTGGAGACAGACCAATTCTCACCTGCAACAGACATGTTTTTTTACTGAGCTCAGTTCTGGGATGAAGGACACAGGCAGTGTCAGCCCATCTCCACTGCTCTGAGAATATGGTGATCGTTCCATAGATTTGTTGCTTAATTGGGTGGCAGGTTCAAGTGGACCTTTGCAGCATTCTGTAGCTCAGTGGTTAGAGCGCTCGCCTCGCAAGCGAGAGGCCCTGGGTTCGATTCCCGGGCAGGGAGAAACTTTGCATAAGCTTCCTTACTCCACACAAAATCTGAACAGCCTATTCATTTTACAGTATATTCTCTGGAGCGCTCTGAGACGTCTAGAAGACGTGATGAGGCACTATATCAAATGAAAGAATTATTATTATTATATAGCCCCCTTGTACAGGATAGCACCCTAGAGCTCTTGGAAAGGGTTCATTATTCATTGTGCTGTAAGTATTTACAATGATCATTTTCCCATTGGCCCCACAGAATACAATTAGTTGTCATGAATCACGATCCTCACGACACTAAATCGGATATCTTATCGCTCAACAAAAATGCATGTCGAGTCATTTCCTGGCAGATTGCTTCATAAAAAAACACACACACATTGTGTAAACAGAAAAAGATTGCTCGCTGAATTCCAAGGGAAAAGAGTCACCTCTGCATTTTGTTTCTTTTGTGATTTTATTCCAATCCTAAAAAAAAATAACCTTGAAGGATGCCAGGAATTCGAGTTACACAAAGCTTTGCCACCGCTTGTCCAGCTAGGACCACCCCACCCTCCGTTTGTCCTGCAGGTTTAACGGAAGCTGAGTGGGATGACCTCCCTGTCCCCAGTGACTGATCCTCTCTTCCAAGTCCTGATGATATTATTATTATTATTATTATTATTATTTGTGCAACAGTTTTTCTGAAGATTTGTGTTCGGAATCGAATAATTTTTGATCATAGTTTTCTTAGAAAAAAATTAAAATCAATCATTGGAAAGAATTACTAACCCCAGAAAAGCGATCCGCCAATAGACTTAACAACCAGGTTCCTACTTACTGCCGGGTAAACACAGAGGCGTGTGGAGCAAGGAAACTTTCCCAACATTTCGCCCTGCCCAGGAATCAAACCCAGAATCAAACCCTGGAGAGGCGAGCGCTCTCTAACCACTGAGCGACGGCAATCATTTTCTTTAAATTGAAGAGGTGTGTGGGCGTGAGAAAGGTTTGATTGCGGCAGTGCAGATTAAGTTCACAGATAATAATAATCCTTGCATTTGATATAGCGCCTTATCTTCGAGAAGTCTCAAAGCGCTTACTGCAGAGGGAATTAACTGTATATTTTGTGGGTGAAATACAGCAGCCAATTGCGCACAGCAGCGTCCCCACAAACAGTTGTGGATTGTGTGACCAAATTACTTTTTTTACTAAAGAAAAACATTTTGAAGGGATTATTACCATTAGAAAACTGGTTCGCCAATCAGCGAACAATCAGGTTCCAATTTACCGGTAAACAGAGGCGTGTGGAGTAAGGAAACTTGCCTAAGGTTTTGCCCCGTTCGGGAATCAAACCCAGGTCCTCTCTCTTGCGATGCAAAGATAGGTGGGAGAGTAGTGAGGATGACACATGAAGAATACAAAGGGTAATAGACAGGCGAGGTGAGTGGGCAAGAAGGTGGCAGATGGAGTAGATAACGTGGGGAAATGTGAAGTTATTCACCTAGGTAGTAAAAATAGAAAAGCAGATTATTTTCTAGAGGGTGGGAGAGACTGGGAAGTGTTAGTGTTCAGAGGTTTGGGTGTCCTGTACACCAGTCACAAAAAGTTAGTATTCAGGTACAGCAAGCAACTAGGAAGGCTAATGCCAGGTTGGCGTTCGTTGCAAAAGGGTTAGAGTTCAAGAGTAGAGAAGTCTTGCTGTAGTTGTATAAAGCCTTGGTGAGACCGCACCTAGAATATTGTGTGCAGTTTTGGTCTCATTTAAGAAAGGACATACTCGCCTTAGAGAGGCTGCAGAGTAGATTCACTAGGTTGGTTCCTGGGATGAGGGGTGTTGACCCATGAGGAGAGGTCGAATAAACTAGGCCTATATTCTCTAGAATATAGAATAATTAGAGGTGATCTTATAGAAACCTATAGATTCTTAAGGGACTTGACAGGGTAGAGAGAGGGAGAGACTGTTTCCCCTGGTTGGAGAATCTAAAACTAGGGGTCATAGTCTCAAGATTAAGGGTCAGCCTTTTCAAACTCAGTTGAGGAAACATTTCTTCACTCAGAGGGTAATGAATCTGTGGAGTTCTCTACCCCAGAGGCTGTGAATGCTCAGTCATTGAACATATTCAAGATTGAGGTTGATAGATTTCTAAAAGATAGAGGGATTAAGGGATATGGGGATAGGGCTGGTAAATGGAATTAGGTTAGAAGATCAGCCATGATCTTATTAAATAGCGGGGCAGGCTCGAGGGTCGAATGGCCTACTCCTGCTCCTAAG